TTTTGATACTTTTTAAAAAATATATTTTTTTATTGAGTCAACTCATGTAACTCAGCAAATTGGGCCAAATATGTTAAGGATATGCTACCGAACCTTGATTTCAGTTAAAGACCTGAATGCATTATAGAAGAAAGGTAGTTTTGTACTTTTCTGATGTTACAGAATATCCACCACAAGAAACTTGTTGAGCTGGAGAGTTTGCCGCCACAAATGGCATCATTCTTTGGCCCTTTGTGTCAATCAATAGTATGTTTGCCAATGAAACATTGGATGGAGACTTTATTGTCAACAAAGAACATATAATCGGCAATAATAGTTTTCGTTGAAGGAGAATGAGAAAAAAGAAAGATGGGTAGAAGAAATATTTTAAAAATTAAAAAACTAAAATGTTTTGATGAGTGAGGATGTTAAAATAAAAATAAAATTAAAATATATAATATATAATATATGACATTATTTTTGTCATATAATTAATTATATACTCATGTCACTTTAAGTTATATGTCATTATTCTTTTACTAATATTTGAATTTAGATATTAAAATGTTTGAAAATAAAAATAAAATACTAATGTGATATTTTAAAAAATTCAAAAACAAAAATGTTGAACACTTATTATATCGTAAAAATCAAAATGAAAGTTTAATTATTTTTTAACTCACCTTAAAAGTGAGGTCGACTCACTTAACGCACAATGCTCACTTTGACAAATATACTTTAAAGGTGAAATGGTTAGACTCTCCTTACAAGTAGCATCTCCAAGACTTAAATATCTGTACTGTCTCAAAAATGAACTTACTGTGCATCAAGTCTCTTGTGGATACATTAAACACACGTTTAATTTAACTTTTCTCGCCTATAAATGATTTTTTCAATTAAAATTTTACCGTATAATATTTTGATTATAACTTTTCTAAAGGATAAATAAATTAATTCAAATATTTACTAACCAACACAATCAAATACAGAAAAGAAAACAAGAAAAAATTATGAGCAATAGTTCGGCCGAATCTTTGGTTCCTTTGTTCTTAATTTATTGTTAACAAACGAAGGGAAAGAAGGAACTTTACTTAGTTGTTTTATTCAATCATTCATGCAAAGTCCAGCACTTTCAAATAAACAAAGACACAACGTGGCTTGAAAAGACCTAAGCTGGAAAGCAAGAAGGTAACTTCGCTTGCATGCATGTATGTTCTAATACTCTCTATCCCTACTCAACCTCACGTAAGCAGTTTGAGTATATTTTGAAATTTAGGTCTTTTTTTTTACATAATATGAGAGAGAAACTTCAAAATTTTTGTTTTGTAATCGAACCAGACTAAATAGTCTGAATCTGTCTGACTGGTTAGTCTATAAATTAAAAACTTAATTAGTTATAATTTAATCTTACAATGAAATTTAAGGTCAAATTATTTTAAACTGATCAAAATCAGTTATAACAGCTTAGAGCAGCTAGTTTAACTTCAATTAACTCGTTATAATTTAAAAAGAAATCATTCAATATATTTTCACATTTTATGGATGTTTTAACAAATTTCATATTATTGTATCATTTATGCTTAACTAACTGATTTAAACAATTGAACTAGTGAATCTAAAATCAAAAGTATCAATGATTTACTATCCAGTCTGACATGAACAATATTGGCACAAAGTAATAGATATCCAACTCTCATGATCGAGCATAAAGTATTTTTGGATACATGTTATACATGCTATAAACGACTTTTTTATTATTAAAAACTATATAATTCAATGCGTTCACATTGTTAAATACTGCAATTTTAACAAAAATTTACCATTTATTAATTTATTACTGTTTGCATATTGTATAGTTTATAAAACATCTAAATTCCAGTGACTAGTTTGTGTAGCATTGAAATAATGCGCATCCAAGGCAAGCAAATGTAAAATCAAACTGGATAATATTATAGCTGGTAGATTACAATAAAAACAGTCATTTCAACACAGCTTAGATTTTTGACTGGTGACATTTACCAGATAAACACCGTAATTTAATTAAGATTCTAATAGCTGAGTGTTCTATATCAATACCAACGCAATTAATATGACACTGCATGACTCCCTTTTCTTATAAGGAATTAAGAATATTATTTTTATACTACTTACTTATTTAAGATAAATAAATAATAGAGAATATAAGTATAAAATTCACTTTTCATTCAAAATAAACAAATTTTCTTACAATAAATATCTAACAGAATAACATAATATTACATTTAGTTCATAATACTTAAAAATACACAAAAATTATTCTACATAACTCTCTCTATATGGGGTCTTAAAATATTAAAAAAAATGACTTAATGCAAAAGTACTCGACTTCATCCTTCTAACACTTCTCCACTGGTCCCTTAACCTATGAAGTAGATACAACATCTACTTACGTGTCACCGTACGATATCGTAGAACACACGCACACAACAGTATAGACAAAAATGTCAGGGTAAACTTACAAAAAAAAATCATATATATAGAGTAAAATATTACTCACAACAACAGCTCCATACATTCTCAGCTCATCTAATGCACAACATAAAAATGGTTCCAACTAGTTTCATAGCCTAAGTAATCCAAAAGGAACTGAGCTGGTCCAAGAGCGACCCATTTTGGTATTTGGATTTAGACAAATAGCACAACACAGCTCAACATGCTCTATCGTTAAATATTTACCCACCTAAACATGTAACTCGGCTCTATAATGATGCAAGACATATATCTTAGTATGATACAACACAGACAAAATCATATTCTCAACAGTTCAGCTAAAATATTTTATAATATTTTAGCCAAATCTCTACATTTTAAATAAATTAACAGCAGTTACAGCATAAAAATTAGCTTTTATCCAAGAGATCAAACAAAATCATCTCAAAACTTTTTGTAATAGCATACTAAATCGTTCAAAACATCGTTTAATAGTTAAAGTAAATTTTCCTTACCTTAGAATAATGATTCACACTAAACCTATTGAATATTACCTTTTTTAAGGCAATATCTATCGAAGATTTAGCTCTACAACAAGTTTCTCCTAAGATAACTATCTATAAGAAAGAGAAGAAGAAGAAGAGAAACAAACAATAAATCTAACTTCAAAATTATAAAAACTTGCTTCTAATTCTATATAAACCTAATACAAATATACAATGTGATATCAACCTTCTATTATACATTACACAAATTTCTAATATAAATTTTGGTAGAATTTTTCCTAATACATGTCAATTTCCTTACATTTGTTTACCACTTTTTTACAAAAATCAAAATTTTACCATACATAACTAATATATTATATAACAATATATTAATCGATACATCAAACACAAACACATCACAATCCTAAACTGTTCTAGAGCACATCCCCTTGTAACTCCACAACATGCATATTTTACAAACTCCACAAAAACAAACAATCCCACAACACACAATTATCAGGTTCGGAGAAGGACTTCTACGCCTTTCCCCCAGTCATACAATCTTCAATTCTACAACTCTATCTTAGAAATTTTAAGTCTCTAAAAAACATAAAAAATTAAAAAAACTAAACCAATTAAAAGTTAGAGTATCGTACCAGGAATATAGTGATGCAAAAAATCTTTCAAATGGATGCTCCAATCATTCGCAAAGGCCAAAACACTGAGCTCCTAGACAGAGAGAGAGAGAGGCGAAAGAGAAAGAGAGTTATGAAAAAATGAGGAAGGGGAAGGGAGAAGCGTCGTTTTATGGGTTTCAGTCATTATAGACGGAAAAATCTGTCTGTAAATGGTTTAATGAAACGATGCGTTTCAGGTAGCAAATTACAGATGAATTTTTCTGTCTGTAAATCTGTCTGTAATTTGCCACCTGAAAGGTCTGTTAAAAACGGCCATAATTACAGACGATAAATCCATTTGTAACTCTCGCTATAAAATTCCCTCATATTTTCAAATTACAAATGGAAAAATCTGTCTGTAATTTCTGTCTATACGATTTCGCGCCAAATAGCGGGCAAACTGCAGACGAATTTTACAGACAGATTGAAATCTGTCTGTATTATAGACGGATTTTTCATAAAATAAAAAAATAATAATTCACAAATCCGTATGTAAATCTGTCTATATTACAGACAGATTTTAATCTGTCTGTAAAATCTGTCTGTATATAGCGCTTTTCTAGTAGTGTCTTCGAAATAGACGTAGAATCTCAAATCTGCTAAAAAATCTAAGCTTAAGAGTGTTTATTAAGAACATAATCACCCGTTACAATTAAGAACAAAACTCACATGCTTGTTTCACATAGTAAGATAATCGAAGTCCAAACTTACGAGATTGATATGGTTAAAAACTATGAACTACAGACAAAAGTTATTTTAACTTAGCATACTTGTAAGATACATAAGTAATGTTGGATACACTTGCATACGTACAAAAAATCATTTCAAGGCAAAAAGACAAATAAGTATGTATATGGAGAAGTTGATGTTCTAATGCAATATTTTTAATGATAATTATTAGAAAATATATTATTTTTCATGCATACAAAAAGGGGTGATTCATATCATCATGACTTAGTTCTAATTTCTCTAATTTAAAAAAAGAAATCAATAAGCAAACAACAAATGTTTTATTAGAGTAATGCAAAAATGGTGCTAAATTTTGATTTCAAAGATAATTATTGGAGAATATACTTAATGTCTATTTTGATGAAATAATTTCTCTTAACACTACACATTATAAAAGCAAATAAAACCCTTTTATTATTTTCATGTTTTAATCATTATTATTTAAGTTTGACAATAATAAAATAATATATATTTTTTAATTATATTTAATTTAACCTACTTATCTTTTTAATCAAAGTTTTTTTATTTAAATAATATAATTTTTAAAATTATTTTCAAAAATAGAGTTAATAAAAAGCTATTTTTCTGCCTAGTATTTTTTTTTTTTTTTTTTGCCACATCAAGGAGTTTATCAGACTTATGGACGTAGCATTTTTATAGGTACTTTTAAACATAATATAAACAAAAGGGTAAACCTTGCAACCTGACCCACCGCATCTCGTGGCCATGGTCGTGGCCATGGCTTCTCTCACTTGCTTCTCTTTAATTCACCCTCTTCTTCTTCGTCGTACTTCAGCACTTCCGGCTATTCCGAACGGCTGCTTCCACCATTCCTCCACGCTGGACCGGGTTCTCTCCTCCGTCAACCCTCATCGAGCTACTCCACGCGCGATGCCAAAGACCAGTTTCTCCCCCGGTCAAGACCAAGTCGCTTCCAGTAAGTTCTACACTCCACCCACAGTGAACTCTATGACCTTTCTCTATCTCATTTTCTCAAAGTTCAAATCTTAATCTCTCTCTCTCTCTCTCTCTTTGTTGTTTTAAAGCTGGTGATCTTGAATTTGAAGGACCTCTGAAAATTGTGAAGTATCCAGACCCGATATTGAGGGCGAGAAATAAGATCATAGTCACCTTCGATGCTAATCTGAAGAAGCTTGTCGACGAAATGTTTGACGTAATGTACAGGTAAGCATTCTCCATGTTGGCATGTTACAATGTTTGCTTCTGTGTTCTGTGGAGTAGAATTATGGTAAATTTTATTTATTTATTTATTTATTGTTTAGTTTTCGTTAAATTATCATACTTATTTTTCAAGGAACTTTATTTACAAAACTAGAGTTGTCGTTTTTTAGGGCAGCTGTTGATTCAAAACAATTATATAATTTTGGGACTTTTGGCTAACGTCCGCTACACAGCAGCAATGAGCTGATAGTGATAGTATAATACTTTGGCTTGTATTAGTACATTAGTTGGTTGAAATATCTTGGAAGGGAGGGGGGAGGGACAAAGGGACAATAGTTCACTAGAAGCTGAATAGGTTCCAAGCTTGTATATATATTAGTGCTTCATGCTTTTTATACTTGTATTCTTCCTTCCTGTTCCAATTTAATTGAGCATATATATGTTTTGAATATAAAAAGATAAATAAAAAAAACTATCCACAACATCAAAATTGTTTTAGGAAACTGGAGAGTGGGTTTATCCGGGGATTGCATACCTCCACATACTGTTATATCATGCATAAATGATCAAAATTAAAACATAAAGTCATTTGATGTTTCTAAGTTGGCTAATGTAATGTTTAAGCAACTTGTAATCTTTAATCAAGACTAATTTTTGAGCTTTAATAGTTCTCTTTTTCTTTTTCTTTTTTTTTGAGAAAATGTCCATTTTGGAATGTAAAGGCATCATATTGGAATCATCAAACTGGTCATTCACTGACATTTTAATGTTGTCCTTTTAGACAAATTTGATGTCAATTTAAACTTACATCTTTATAAATGGAGGACCAACCTGATGACATGTATATCTTTGGAGGACTATAATAGATATTTTCAAACACTTTTACTTATTTCAAGAATTTGATTGAAATTAATTATAAAAGGTTCATCACAATTAGTTATTGTTATTTTGTTTTCTTTTTTCACTATGAAAAATTCTTAGCTTTGGCAAGAAAATCCAATCCAATCAGCCTGTTCAGGTATTGATAATATGTTTCTTTTATTAACATGGAACAATAAAAGAAATTAAAAATATATAAAATTATACTGTTCAACAGTACATACAATAAGAATATTCCTTATTTTATTTATAATTATGCTTTTAATCAAAAGTATAGTTTCATTCCATACCCAAAATTTAAAATTCACACTTAATCTCTATGCCTACAATTCTACATCCAATGGAATCAATAGATAATGAATTAATACAGAAAAATCAACATGTGTAAGTTTGTGTTAAGTTCTTGCACCTGTCCTTTTAAATTAAAAATGGTTTTAAGTGAAATATCCTTTTGGCGCATAAAAGCTTACTATAGTATGGGAGCATCTTGCTGATAGGGTAAAGCCAACACTCAACTGGAGAATATTCCTACACCCAAAATGTGTTGGGACAACTTTTGGTCTTAATAAAAGAAAATCCCAGTGTAGGAAGATCATAGAAAAAATGGGGTTTGACTTGTAACAAGGCATAGAATATGTTTAAGTTATATTATACATAAACAAGTTATATTAATGTATATGTTAATATTATCAATTGTAATTTAAATAACATTGAGGGATATGATAGTTTTTCAGTTATGTAAAAGTAAAAGAATAAGAATTTGAACAAAAAGAAAGATAGAGAATTGAGAAAGGAAGGATTTTTTTATTCAAATGAACAGAAAAGACATTCAAGAGGCAGAATCCTCTTACAAGGGAAAATTTCCTTATCCCTGAGAATCACTCAGTTTGTATTATTTTCTCTCCCCTCCTTTCCTTTACAATTTTCCCATATTTAACCCCAAAATGAGCCTCTTGAAACTGGCTCATTAACCAAGTAATAACTTCAAATAAAATCAATTGTAACTGATGCATACATTATAAATTCCAAATAAAACTCTTGTAACTTACTGATAACATATTAACCACCTATTATTACTGTTTATTCCTCCTAGAATAAACCGTCTAAAGCTTATTCTTCTCATTAATTATTGGCATGGGCTCATGTCTAACAATACCTCCTGCTGAAGAATCCACCTTGTTCTCAAGGTTGAAGTCTGTAAACTGGGAATTAATAGTGGAAACATCCTCCCAAGTATCTTCCTCTATGAGGCGATCTTGCCACTGAATCAGAACCTGGTCCACCCGCTCACCCTGCCTAGTAATAGAGCGTGCCCCCAAAACCTTAGCGTGAGAATAGAGAACTGTATCCACCTGCTAATCCATGGTAAGGTCAGCCTCCAAATGATGATTTCTCACTTCCTTCTTAAGCTGAGACACATAAAAAACAGGGTCAATCCAAGCATGATGTGGGGGCTGGAGTTGAAATGCCACTGCACCAATCTGTTTTGTCACCAAATAAGGTCCATATTAATAGCGTGGGTTGTAAGTGAGTTGACATTGAACCTTGACGATGAGGTTTTATTTTCAAATAAACACCCTTTATTGAATATCGGAAGACCTCTTATGGACATTGTGGAGATTAGCATAGTGAACCATATGGGACTGAGCTCTATTCAAATGAAACTTCAGCTGCCTTAAAGCTATCCCTCAAATCTTGTGCCACAACCTTTTTCAAGGTTCCCCAGTTATAAATCACAAGAGACTTGAATGTGGTCTGTTAGGAACCCAGAGAAAATAAAATCAAAAGAAGAGAAGAATTAACGAAACAAAACTTTATTAAAGAACAGAACAGAAAATGAAGAATAAAAATCTCCCCAAGGGTTTTTTCCCCTTCACAAAGGATCTCTCCTTTCACTTTTACGAACTAACAATTTCACTCCACACACTTACCCAACCTGATTTCTCCTATTTATTGCCAATCTTTCTAACTAACTAGCTAGTGCAACTAACTAATGACTAATAACTGTCTTTGTTCAACTGATTGGTGCAACTAACTATTGACTAACAACTGCCCTTATTCACTCTCATTAGGGTTTTCTAAGTATCTCTGTCTCTCTCTGTCTTTCTCTCTCTCTCTCTCTCTCTCTATATATATATATATATATATATATATAGGGAATAGAAGGCTGGAGGTTGGGAATTTCATTGAAATCAATACCTTGTATTGTATACTGTTCAAAATGAACTCACAGTAGAATCAAGATTAGGCATACTGTAATTAGATACATGTAGGGAATTTTGGATTTTATTGGATTGTTAATAATACTGCTTGACCTCCTTTTCCACAGAACTGATGGTATTGGTCTCTCAGCACCTCAAGTAGGAATTAATGTGCAACTTATGGTGTTCAATCCCATAGGTGAGCGTGGTGAAGGAGAGGAAGTTGTTCTTGTAAATCCAAGAGTTGGCAAATACTCAAAGAAAATGTCACTCTTTACTGAAGGTTGCCTATCTTTCCCCGGAATTAATGCTGATGTAAAGGTATATAATAATCCTTTTCTTTTACAACATCATTGACTTCAGGTTTCTATTTATGTTTGTTTGTGAAGATAGCTACTTCTTTACTTTAGTCTGTTTGAAATGTTTCCATTTATTGTATTTTATACTATAAGATAGCATATTTAACCCATGTTTGAATATGTAAATAACAATTATTGTAAATTAGGGATTTGGTTTATTCATTTGTATTTATGGTTGATTCTATTTGTACCCTAATATGTGATTATAAATAAGACTCACATGCTCCTACTGTCAAACTTAGAGAAGTGTAGGCAGAAAAACTGTCTTCTCCTGCTGGAGAATTCTCATATATATACTGTTTAATACAAGCTGATTTTCAGCCCAATAATTAGCTAAACGGCTATATTTACATTCATCCTAGAACTTAATTAAGGAGAGAATAACAGTTACAATCCTAATTAAGAAAAAAATAACAGTTACAGCTGTACAATACAATTGCATATTAAATGTCCAGCTGTGAATTTGCTGGTTTTAATGACCAGAAAATTTGCTCATCAATTCCATTGACATCCCCCCTCAAATTGATGTTGGTAAGTCTACAAGCATCAATTTGCCAACAAGAAGATTGTGCCGCTGACGTGTCAAAGTTTTAGTGAAAATGTCGGCAATCTGCACAGATGTTGAGACATGAGGTAGAGTGATAATTCTGCGATCATAGGCTTCTCGGATAGAATGACAATCAACCTCAATGTACTTTTTGCGTTCATGATAAACTGGATTTGCTGCAATTTGTATGGCACTGGTGTTGTCAGCATGCAGCGGAGTTGGTTGAGCTTGAGAGAATCCAAGCTCTGTAAGGAGACCAGGTAACCAAATTATTTCAGAGCATGCAGTAGACATTGCACGATATTCTGCTTCAGTGGATGACTTGGAAACTGAATCTTGTTTCTTGCATTTCCATGAAATTAAAGCATTACCCAAAAACATACACCAGCCAGTAGTTGATTTCCTTGTGTCTGGACAGCCAGCCCAGTCAGCATCACTATATGCTTGGAGTTGGAGAGATGAATCAGCAAGAACAAATAGACCACGTTTGGAGGTGCCAAGGAGGTATCGTATGATGCGGTGTACTGCTGAACGACGGAAATGTCGAGGAGATTGCATGAATTTACTCACTGTGTGGACAGCAAAAGAAATATCCGGACGAGTGATGGTCACATAGATAAGACTACCAACCAGTTTGCGATATAAAGTGGGATCTGGGAGAAGTTCACCTTCATCTCTGCTATATTTCACATTAACTTCCATCAGGGTGTCAACAGAGGTTGCATTGGTGAGGCCAGCTAACTGAACCAGATCTTGAATATACTTTTACTGATTTAAAAATATCCCTTTAGGTTGATGATGTACTTCTAACCCCAAAAAGTAAGTGAGGTGGCCAAGCTCCTTCATATGAAAAGTTGAATGCAGCAAGTGTTTAATTTTAGAAATAGCGGCGTGATCAGAATCGGTCACGACAATGTCATCCACATTAACAATAAGCACCAAAATGCCGTTAGAAGTCCTCTGTAGAAAAAGAGACGGATCATATTGGCTTTGTGTGAAGGAAAAGCCAAATAATGTGGATCGAAATTTTTCAAACCATACTCTAGGTGCCTGTTTCAATCCATATAAAAAGCGTTTTAGTTTGCAAACAGCATTAGGTGAATGTGTGGACATACCATTAGGAAGTTTAATGTAAACTTCCTCCTTGAGGTCCCCGTGGAAAAATGCATTTTTGACATCCATTTTATGTAATGGCCAAGATTATGATGCAGCAAGGGCAAGTATGGTTCGCACAGTAGTCATCTTGGCAACCGGGGCAAAAGTCTCATCATAGTCAAGTCCATATTCTTGCTTATTTCCTAGCACAACTAAACGAGCTTTGTAACGGTCTATGGACCCATCTGAACGAAGCTTTATTGTGAACACAAATTTGCTGCCGAGAGGTTTAACAGATGGGGGACATGGCACAACATCCCATGTTTGATTTTCTTCTAGTGCTAGGAGTTCTGTCTCAATAGCTTGCTGCCAACACTCATGCTCCATTGCTTGTTTATAAGAAGAAGGAATAGGGACTGATGATAATGTTGCTGTCAAGGATAAGGGAGAGGTAAAACCATATTTTTCTGGGGGTTTACGAGTGCGGGAACTTCATCGTAGGGGAACTGGTTGCAGCCTTTGTATTGGATCAGCAGCCAAGGAATAATCTTGAGGGGGCCCAGGAGGATCTGGTGGCTGATTTTGAGTGGTATGACTTCGTCTGTGGTAGGTTAAGAGAGGTCTAGATGAAGGCTGTCCTGCAGAAGAGGTAGAAAACAATGGCAAAATAGAAATTTGGGAAGGGAGAGTATCATGATAAGTTACAAAAAAATATTTATTTTCCTGAAAGATGACATTTCTAGATACCCGAATCCGACGAAGGTTAGGATCATAACAGAGAAAACCTTTTTGGTGAGGAGAATATCCAAGAAAAGCACATGCAACAGATTGTGCAGTGAGTTTAGTGCGTTCTTGTGAAGGAAGATAGACATAACACACACAACCAAAGGTTCGAAGAGAGGAATAATTGGGTGGGTGACCAAATAACCAGATGAAAGGAGAATCATTATTTAATGATGTAGATGGCAAGTGGTTTATAAGGTGAACAGCAATGGAGAGAGCTTCACACCAAAACCGAGGTGGCACACAAGACTCCAACAACAAGGTGCGGACAACATCAAGCAAGTGGCGGTTTTTTCTTTCGGCTATCCCATTTTGCTGGGGGGTTGAGGGGCATGTCCTTTGAGATATAACACCATTAGTTTGCAAGAAGTTTTGAAAAGAATGAGAAATGTACTCCCCTCCATTGTCAGAGTGAAGAATTTTAATTTTGAAGGAAAATTAAGTCTGAACATAAGCATGAAAAAGTTTGAAAGCAGACAATACTTCATCTTTAGCGCACAAGAAATAGACCCACGTAAAACGACTATAATCGTCAATGAAAGTGACAAAATATTTATAACTTGCATGAGAAATAATTGGTGCCACCCCCCATACATCACTGTGAATCATATCAAAAGGTTTGTCTATGTTTGATTGATGTGTCGGAAAAGGAAGAATTTTACTTTTGCCAAGTTTACAAGAAAGGCAATCAAATTGAACAACATGAAGAGGTGGGGACTGTTTATTTCCAAAAAAACCAGTTTTTAACATGTGATGCAGTACATTGGAGTTTGGATGTCCAAGACGCTTATGCCATATCTGATAATCAACAGTAGCAGAATAACAAGAAACAAAAGGTAAAGGAAGATTTGGAGACAAAGGGAAATGAAGTGGAAAAAGGCGTCCAATTTTAGGCCCTGTCGCGATTGTCTTCCTTGATTGTTGATCCTGCACAAGACAACCAGATTTTGAGAATTCTACAAGACAACCATTGTCAACTAATTGACCAACAGAAATGAGGTTATTAGTCAGACCAAGAGAGACAAAAACATCGGTTAGAGATGAAGAAATATCACCAGTTGCTGTGATATGTAAATGATTTCCATCAGCAGTATGAATCTTGAGATTTCCAGAATATTTGGTGATATTAGTAAGAAACTGAGCATTGTTAGTCATATGGTTGGAAGCCCCAGAATCAAAGTACCAAGGTGAAGATGTAGAAAAAGGTTTACCTGAAAGTCCCAAGGCAGAGAATGCGGAAATGATCATTTGTTGAACCATTTCAGGAGTCAATGTTGGAACCGGAGCAGGAGCAGGATGTTGGACAGAGGCTGTATTCGTAGAACTACTAGAAGTAGAAGAACCAGCCAATGCTATAAAAGCTGTTGCAGATCGCTTTGGTGGTCTTGTTGGGCATTCTTTAATAATATGGTCATCCTTTTTGCAATAACTACAGAATTTTTGTGGACAGTGTGAAGCATAATGTCCAAATCCTTTGCAACAGTAGCATTGAACAGCACTCATGTCACGGCCTTTTGGTTTTCCTTGTGCTGCGTAAGCCACTGGGACAATAGAGAAACTTTGTTGGTCAATGGTCGATTGTGTGAGAAGACGCTGTTCTTCACGAAGCAGTTCACTGAGGCATGTATCTAGTGAGGGTACAAGGTCTCTATTCATGAGATTAGATCGGACACCTTCAAAATCGGATCTCAATTTCATAAGAAATTGATTTCGTTTAGTAGTGTCATGAATTGATTGCACTGAAGTAAGACCATCAGAAGTCAAATTTTCATAAACTATGTCAGTGTAATTTGCCCAAAGATTCATGTGAGTAAAATTCAGAAATGGAGAGATTATCCTGTTGAGAGATGGCAATGTCATGTTCAAGCTGAAATCTGCGTGCAGTGTTATTCTGACTATAGATTTTCTTCAAATAGGCCCACATTTCTGCTGCAGTCTTGAAAGGTCATAAATTCTGGATAATGTTTGGATCCACAAAACCTATGAGCCACGCCATGACTTGAGCATCCTTGACCTCCCATTTGCGATGTTCATCCTTCTGTTGGTCTTTGTTAGGAGCAAAAGTGCCACCATCAACATGACCCCAAAGATCTCTTCCTTTGACAAATATCTGGAATTGGAATGCCCAAGCTGAGTAGTTCTTGCCATTTAGGCAGACCAATAATACGTCATACTTTTCAATAGACATGATGCTAAAGAAAATGAAATGGTAACTAAGGACCAAATCTGGACTAGGATAGAATTGAGAAAAAAAACAAGGACTGTAAAAGCTTGGACTAGGACAATGATCGGAAAAACTGGGACAGGGCTAGGCTAGGATCGTAAGCCAGACTGATACCATGTCAAACTTAGAGAAGTGTAGGCAGAAAAACTGTCTTCTCCTGCTAGAGAATTCTTATATATATACTGTTTAATACAAGCTGATTTTCAGCCCAATAATTAGCTAAACGGCTATATTTACATTTATCCTACAACTTAATTAAGGAGAGAATAACAGTTACAATCCTAATTAAGAAAAGAATAACAGTTACAGCTGTACAATACAATTGCATATTAAATGTCCAGCTGTGAATTTACTGGTTTTAATGACCAGAAAATTTGCTCATCAATTCCATTGACACCTACAACACATAACATTCATCACTAATATGTAACTTTCATCACTGAGCCACTGTGACCATAAGCCCTTTCCATTCATGAGCCATCCCCTGCCATTGCTAATCAAGACATCACTGCTAGACGATGCCGAGTTGCTATCAAAATAATTAAGTTCTTTAAAAATGTAAGTAAATTTTAGGGATTTAAAATTGCAAATTAATTAAATTAAATTACGAACAGAATAAAGTTAAGTAAAAAACAAATTAAGAAATATCAATCCTTTTGTATCTAAAAGTTTTAATCCGTGTTTGAACGAATACTTAATTCAATTCAATCGAATAACCTAATTGAATAGAGTTACGAATTAAATGAAATTATTATTTAATCTAATCCCCATTAATTATCAAATCAGAGCATCAATCCAGTCACAATTTAAATTCTAATCACAAAAAAGCTAATAACAATCGCAATATACAAATTTGAAATTAGAAAAAAAAAAAGAATAAACTCTGAGCAATTTGGCTCGGAACTCAAATCAGATTTACAACGTTTAGATTCCGTGGATTGAACATGAGAATGAGAAGAGAACGAAAGGATTCGAGAAAAAGTAAAAATAAGGATTCTTATTTTGGCCAGATCTCAAAAATTTAGAGTGTCTAATCGCATACTTAATTCAGAATTTTATTAGTCTATTTATAAGTTCTAATTAAGATAAACTAAATGGTCTTAATTTGAGCTTCAATTATAACTATAAGTCAAAATACAATTATTTAATAACAAAGAGTCTAAATGCAATCTCATAACAATATTCAGCAAATCTGCCTCAACTTCAAAAAATTATAAAAAAATTAAAATCAACTTCAAATCCATCGATCCATATATGCATTTTGAAGCCCTGAATGTGTAAAATCCAATGCAACTAGAATCAGCCAAAAACGATATATGTAGAAAAAGTTATGACTGAAAGAATAGTCAAAGGTCAGAATAACTGAAAATACGAAATTAAAACATTTATTTGTAACAAACCCAATTTATTCAAATAAGTAAAAAATGGTAAAAACTCTAAAAATAAAGCATATTAAAAGTGTTTATAAATCAAAATAAAATTATAAATATAAACTTAAAATATGTTACATTAGTCACTACTTGCGTACCCACACTTGCCTTCATTTTTGGCTCATCTGTTCCATGTGCTGCTTTTTTTCTTTTTCTGGCATGCATGTCCTACTTCTCAGCAACTTTCTTGTGCTGATGGCCCTTCCAATCACCAATCCAGACCCGGACAACCTTATCCAGTCTCTTGTTTGGTCCCAATCAATATGGCAAGTGCTGTTTTGGCACTGTTTCAGTCACTTTCACCATTGTTCCTTTCATCCCTGGTAAAAAAGTTGATCAGAATTGCCTACTAAAGCACCTAGGTTGCTGTTGTCCAGCTGTGGTTTCAAGTCAATGCCACTTTATGCAATGCTCTATGGTTTTCTATTAATCCCAAACTGCAGCTGCAATTCCAGGCCTTTAAGATCTGTTATGATGTCTGAACAAAAGCCAAGAAGGTCTATTCCAACAATGTTCGTTGCCTCTATAGTGTGGTTTTTAAACTCATTTCTATGAAGCTGAAAAACATGGATGAACAGACCTTTGATCATTTAATTGCTGATTTTGATTTTGATACCCTCATGCAATTTACTAGTGATGCAGCAACTCATATTGAACAATGCAGCCAGTTTCTCAAGGTCCTTTATTCTTTCCAGTCTCCTCGAGCTTGACTCAGTATGTAATCAAATCTTTTCAGGATCAATTGTTCCCTCATATGACAGTTAGTGAACAACTACTGCGTCTCTCCTCTCCTCATGCATTTGACCATTCCTCCATTGTTCCAGCTAATTCCTTTGCTCTCATCTCCTACTATTCTTGTCATGTTGGAGAAAGTGTAGGTGGGAGTGGCCATTGTTGTTATTTGTATTGCACTTATTGTCATATTGAAGCTGAATGCCTCACCAAGTTTAGACAACATAAGCTTTCTAATGTTGCTCATATCATTGCACCTGACACCCCTTGAGTATGTTACTACTAATGCCCTGATTACAATTAATTTCTGTGATTCAAAGCAGCCTATTAAGAAATCTAGTTTCTGTCATTTATCGTATTTGGATCTTTACCGAATGTTATCTTAGCTAATGACTTTCAAATTAAGTTCAAGGCATTGGTCAAATATGTTCCGTTCCTACTTTCTCTTTAGATTTTATTCTTTATGTCTCTAGCTGTCCTTATAATTTAGTTTTCACCAGCAAACTCACTCAGGCTTTACCTTACTTTGTTACCCTTGCCAACAACTCTGTTCTTGTCGAAGATCAGCATAGTTGTCAAAGGATTGAATCAATAAAGAAGCTGAGTCACTTTTACTTTTGTTCACTTTGATATTTGGGGTCCTAGTCATGTCAGTTCTACGTTAAGTTATGACTACTTTGTTACTTTCATTGATGAATTTCATGTTGTATTTGGTTTTTTTTTTATGAAAAATTGTTCATATGTTTTTATTATAGTTCAAGGTTTCTCATTCAAATTTCAATACCAATTGGGTTCATCTATCTAAATTTTCTGCATTGATATTGCTTGTAAATCAAAGAACCTTAGACGAAGTTATTAAAAGAGATCTTTTGATTAACTAGATTTTTGAAAATTTGGTTTTTGACCGAGTTCAATGGCATCATGTGATCCATATAGATGACCTCATCTAATGAGATAAGGCTTGGTGGTTGTTGTTAATATTGCTTGTGAATACTTGTTTGCTTTGTTGAAATTAGTTTTGACTTCCTAAGCATTATTTGTCAGATGCCACAACAAATGACATTTTTGAAAGGAAGAATCAATGCATGATTAAGATTTAAACATCTTGTATCTCAGTTTTTCAGCATAATGTTCCTCTTTGCTTTTGGGATGATGCTATTATCACAACACACTACTTAATCAACCACATGCCTACCAAACCAGTTTCACGCTCATGTTTCCCCATCAAGATCTTTGCTCAATTCCTCTTTTAGTCACTCTTACCAAATCTTTATTGACTTCATTTGCTGTATTTAAATTTTCTTCCAGCTCCCTAATCTTGCAATGGAGCTTAGTTATTGGTGTTTAGGTTATGTTTATTTAAATGTGAGGTGCAACTAAAAGGTTGAAGTATCTCCTATCCTTTTCAGCAGATTCATTCTTCTAGTTTACTAAACATTTTTTATTTTCTTCCACCTTTTTGGTTCTTGCTGAATGTTGCATTCCTTGTTTCTAGGCATCACAAACTATTAAGGAAGAAAATAGAGAAAAGGAACTCAACATTCAGCAAGAATCAAATATTTAGCAGAGCCATTCTTTGAAATTTATGAAATATTTCCTTTTTTGTTTTTTGAGGTCCTTCTTAAAGGAATTGTTACATGTAACCTGAGTGCTTATCTTAACGAGCTTCAATGGTGATATGTTGGACAGTGTTTTGTTTTCCTCTTTTTGAGTTTAGAAAGTAAATAGCAATCCTATGTGCTCAGATCTGTTATTCCATTTTGTTCAGGTTGTTATCTACACTAAAGTCATAACTATTGTATGTATAGTTAACTAACATTTGTTCTATCGATTGGTGTTTTCAACTTGTGCTCCACTGAAGGAACAAAGCCTACATGTCATTTGTTTTCATGATTGTGATGCTGCTGATTTTACCATTCTTTATTTACTCTTTTATTTACTTAAGTGGGTCTCATTATTGTGGTTTAGCGACCAGAATCTGTGAAGATCAATGCACTTGATGTCAATGGAACCAGGTTTTCCGTCAACATGTCTGGCCTTCCTGCACGGATATTCCAGCATGAGTTTGATCATCTACAGGTCTGTTTTTGAGCTTGAATAATTAATGCATTTTTTAGAAGATGAATTTCTTTTGTCATATATAGATACTAAGGGCCATTTGGTGGCTAGGAAAAGGGTGAATAAGATACAATAAGATTAATTTATCCTTTACCTATCCTATTTTATTGGACTAGTGTAATTATTATCCTAAGAATATAGATATAGCTGGATTAGAGGAGGAAGGAAAGGATAACAATTGTCTTCCCTTAAATATCCTTAATTTATTTTAGGCTTAATTATATTTTTTGTCCCTATAAATGTTAGTCATTTTGTGATAAGTTCTTATAAAATTTTTTGTTAGGATTTAGTCCATGTAAAGTTATAAAACTAGGATTTAGTCACTATTATTAACCTCCTTTCTAGCCAGCTCAATACTTCACGTGGCCATCTCGAAGTCTAGTCAATGTCTACGTAACATCTTACATTATTTATTTATTTTTTATTATTTAAAATTAATATTTTCAAATAATGGTATGGCAAAATCTTTAAATAGTCTGAATTTTTAAACATTTTTATGTCACTCCCTGCCAGTTATCCATGCTTACATGTGGAAATAGATGTATTTCTTATTAGGAAATATTCTGTGACAGATTGAATACCCAGAATTAGGGATGTTTACTTTTACTTTTAATGCAAACAGGAAATTCCACAAATCATGGGATTTGACTCCTGAATCTTTCCCTTCCTGTTAAGGTTGTATGTGTATATATATCTATGGCATATAAGTACCATCAAAATTATGGAAAATGTTCCACATTCTCAATCTCTGACATTACATATAATTGTTGTGTCTGTAGGGAATTCTTTTCTTTGACAGAATGACTGATGAAGTTCTTGATAGTGTTCATGAACAGTTACAGGTTAGAAAAAGCATACCTATATTTGTCTTTCCATCTCTTGTTAATCTTCCCTTCACACGAGAAATATGTCATAATGATGAGAAGTTTAATTATGTTTTGCCATGTGCTTCTTTGAGGTGGAGGTGACAAGCCCTCCCTTATTGATTCTGACCATTTAATTTCTACTTATGGCACCATATTTCTTGCATTTTTGCATAGAATAAGCTTCATGGCTGATATTTGTTCTTTACAGAGGTTTACTTCCATAAATTAGGAAGATACTGCACTTGCAACTTAGGAAAAACAATATTCCTTAATTTTTCAATTTTACAATTTCGTTGGTTGGTTGAAAATGCAAAGGAGCATAGGACACTAACCATCTAGGTTTTTTGTTTGAATTAATAAGAAAGGGAAAGGCCATGTTTTTTATTTCCATAAACAAGAAAATCATTAAGATAAAAAGATGATTGACAAAGACTTGGGAGAGTAACAGATCCTCCAAAATAGGAAAAATATAAGAAAACAAACAATAGGAAATGAAGAAAACATCAATGAAGCATAGCTATTCAATCCCTTAAGAAATTTGAAAGGGAAAACTTTGTCAAAAGTGAATTTAACACCAAGTGGAAGCCAACTATCAAATCTTATCCCGAAGAAGCTCCACATCCAAAGATACAGATAACCATGTTAACTAATTTATTATGATAAATTGGATAAGATTTTATGGTTTTTTTTCCATAGATAGCACTTTGCCACAACTATTTGGCTACATTCCCTCTACCAACACCAATAAAGCTACTCCTCAAAAACTGGTTTAAAGGCTAAGGGCACTCCCAAAAGTCTTTGAAAATGCCAAATATAGATTTCCATAAACCAAAGGCCATGATGATTATATTGATTGCTTCAACGCTCATCTAGTGGCCAAAGGTTATATTCAAGTTTTTAGTTTAACTTATGGTGGCACATACTTTATCGTGGTAAAAATGACCTATGTTCATTTATTCTTATATATGGCTGCAATTTGTTATTGTTCGCTTTATTTACTTGACATTAAAAATGAATTTCTTCATGAAGATCTCTTTATATGGTGCAACTTCTTGGATTTTTTGCTTAGGGGAAGTCTTCAGGATTAATCTTTCATTTCCATAAATCTTTGTAAGGCCTCAAACAATTTCCTAGGACATGATTTGGTAGATTCAGCACTATGGTCCAAGAATTTTAAATGACTCAGAGTGAAGTTGATCACTAATTTTTCTATTGCCACTCTTCATTTATTTGATTTTTTACATCAACAATAAAGTTACTACTAAATGTTTATATTTGTATTTTGGGTTTGGAGTGAAAAATAAAAAATATATATATAATGATAAAGAAAAAGATATATTTTGTATATATATATATATATATGAAAAAAAAAAAAAAATATATATATATATATATATATATATATAATTTAGATTACTCTTTTTCTTTATCATTATATATATTTTGTATATTGTGAGGGTAAATGACTATGAGTAGTTTGCATCCTAAAATATATCAAAAGGAGCTCCTAGAAGAAAACACTTGTATAAAGACAAAGGTCAAACTCAAATTGTGGGTTAATTTGATGTAGATTAGACAGACTCCCATATTGATAGGACATCCACTTCTTGCTATTGTATCCTTATTGGAGATAATTTTATTTCATAAAGAAGTAAGAAGCAAACTGTGGTTGCCCATTCAAGTCCATCGAGTCATGGTTTTAGGCTTCAGTCACATATGAACTTATCTGAAACAACTACTAAACGATCTAAAGATTTGGGAAGATTATACAAATGACACTCATTTGTGATAACCAAGCAGCATATTGTCTCAAATCCGAGATAGATTGTTACTTCATTACAAAGAAGATCTTATTTGAAAACATCATGATAGAATTGGATCAAAATTGTAGAAAGAAAAGTTACTATTAACAGAAAAGTTTCTTATTTATAGGCAACATGCCATATTTCTCTAATGGAGAGCCCCCAACTAACTATATAACTCTCTAATGGACTAATTATACCTCTAACTAACTATTTTTTCTAACCAAGTAAGGGCTACCTATCAACGCTCTCCACCTTAACATTCACGTTGTTTTCAAGGGGATTAGCTATGGCAGCTGCAAGCAAAGTTGCATTGGGGTTTCAACTATTCCAAGCATGATGATCAAGCCAATTGGACCTTGCAGCACAAAAATATATTTATTCCTCCTAAGTCAAATACAAATATGAGTGCTCCTGTAGTGCACTGACCATTAAACAAAGCATCATCAGTACGCTATGGTTGTAATCAGATCCTCAAGCTCCCTTGGGAACTACATTGTTGCACAGGATTGCAGATTATGAGCTGTAATATTGGAAACACGTTGTTTTCCTTGATGGCCTGTGCTACTACTGCTTTTGGCTGCCTCTCGATTTGCTGTCAACACCCTTTTGATTTTGTGTCTCCCTGTCAGTGTACATAGACTCCCTTTTGGTAGTTTTGGCCAGGGTACTGGGTTGATCATAGTCAATTATTTCTTAATCTTTAGAACCAAATGATGTTCTTTTTGTTTTCTCACCTTGCACCACAGAGGATGGATGATCTTGCTTTTCAAAAATGGATGCCTTCTCGGACCAAGACAAATCCAGTAATCTCTATTTCTACCTCTTTTTCCAATCCCTTAAAACTTTCCACTTCTGGTTCTTGGACCAAAACGTGGATTTGTTGCTCCCATTGGATTTGCTCCTCTTAGTTTTTCCTCTTCTGGTTCCAAGATTTCTGTCCCCACAATTCTTGTTCCTTTCCTTGAATGATTATATATTTTTCAGTATTTGTTTCTGACCTCCAAGTTGCTGGCTCTTTGTTCTCCAATTCATTCTCTATTTTGTTTTCTTACACCCAAGAAACTTCATCTTTGACCCAAAGTGGCAGATTTAGGTCATAATCAAGATTGAATTCTTTGAGTGAAGCCTTCACAAAGTCCCACCATGATGCATACGGATGGTCCCCTTTCCACACAAACTGCCAAATGAAAGCTCGTACCCACATAGCCTTTCCAACCTTTTGTATTTTCTCTTCGTCAGGTATTGCAGTGGCCTCAAAGTGCTGCTTCACGTTAATAAGCCACCAAGTTTCTGTCCCTTCAAATTTTGGAATAATCTTCAAGAACTCAGCTCCAACGTCAGAGCTCTAATACTAGTTGATAGAAACTGAGTATCTTATTGAGAAGAACTAAGGATGGACCTCAATTACAAGAATAGAACACTACAGTTCTTCGGGGGACTGCTCCTCCCAAGCCAAAGGCCCCATGCAACACCTACATGTATTTTATTTATTTGTTTATTTAATAAATATATAGTAGAATTTATAAATCACTATGTAAATGAGGTAGCTACGAAGATAGCATAGTTATAGATAACGTGATTTTAGATAACAGAATATTATGTAATGCTATGCAATCATTGAGCACTATTATAAATAGATAGCACCGTTGTGTATTCCAACACACAGATTCATCCTATGTCATCTTGTTTCTCTCTCTCTCAACAGTTGTAATAGTAACATAAACTAGTTATTGAAGTTAATGTCACATCTCTAGAGAAAGAATGTTAATAAATATTATGGTCAAATTTATTACAGGCCCTAGAAATGGAGTATGAGGAAATGACTGGATTACCAAGTCCTGAAAAGGTCGAAATCCGCAGGAGGAGAAAGTTTGCCGTTGGATTTGGGAAATCATGATCTTCAAGGTTGACATGATAAATTTCATTTTTCTTGTTTGCTTAGATACTTACTCTTTACATTGTGTTGAAAACTGCTTGTTGCTTATTTTACATGTCAATATTAGGCATAGTAATATGAGTCAATCACATGCCAGAAATTTTGAAGTCTTCCATAAAAAATGAACCTTGGTTTATCACAGGTGCTGCTTGTGGTTGATGTTGGAAATGTGTCGTACATGTAGTAGAAATATGAACTCGTTACACACTCTAAAAGGTATCATTTATATGTTAATAGATGTCTTACTTGTTGTTTCATCCCTAATGGCTTTGATTATATATTAGTTTTCTCTAGGTGGATTAATTTGTATCGGTGCCGTTGTTAATGCAGCCACTGGGAGACATTTCTGTGATCAATACCATTGTCAGTTGTTTTAAGATGCCTGGAAGGAAAGATGACCTTGAACAGAGCCATTTCCTTATTTTTTGGGTCGTTCTATAATTTACAAGTGAGTTCTTGAGGTCACCTTGTGAAGGCCAAATGGAATATAGTCTCTGACCTGTAAAATGTATAGTAAATATATTTTTTTAATTGATCACGTAATATATTGTAAAATCATGTGCTTAAGATGTCGAATTGTAAAAATTAATATTATCACAACATTATCAAATCAATTTTTCAAGTATTTTTGTCATTATATTCGTGTTTATGAAAAATTAAGATAATGTCAAAGATTGCTAATTTATTATTTTTTTTAATGGAGAAGGTTAACCTATCTTTTGATTTTGGGCATAGAGGCTTACACGTTGCTTTAGAAATAAAAAATGTAACTTAATGTTTGTCACACCTGGTGGCCACAACCAGAGAGAAACAACAAAGAAAAGAAAAACATAAAGAAGTTGCAACTAAAATTATTTAAGGATCTTGAAAAACTTAAATTGGTTTGTTTAAATTGATTTGAATTTAAGAGTCTAATTGTGTAAGAGAAAGATATTAACACTTTACAATGTATGTAAAGCAAAATGCTTATTTTTATTTACTTTAAAAAAATGATTTATTTAGAGTAATAAAAGCTTTGTAAAAGTATTTTATACTTATAACATATTTTGAAATAAAAGAAAAAAGGACAAAAAATAGTGTTGGATATTTTTATCTTTGTTTTTATATACTGAGAAAATAAGACTTATGTATTTGAAAATAAAAAAAACCTTTTTGAAATTTATTTATTTTTAAATGAAACTCTTATTTAAATAATAAAATACTAAATAAAAATCTGATTTAATAAAAAAATATTTTACACTGAAACATTATATTTAATTTAAAATTTTTTTTAAAATGCATACTAAAAATGCATTTTTATTGTTTTATGCTGAATATAATTTAAGTATACATAACATGAATATTGATATATATCAACAACTCCCGATAGTTCCATCCCCATATATCAGATTTTGATAAAATCAAGTTCAATTTCGAACAAACAACCCTTTCAGAAATTAAATCAAACAAAAACTATCTCAGGAGGCTCATATTATGAACAATCCTAACCATACTTCCTTCAACATTATGAAGGATAGATAAGACAATCAAGTCTCATGATTCTACGCTGTTTCGCATACCTACCACTACAAATTGCCTTTTAACAACTTAAATTAGTAGTCTGCTTAATATCCTTTAACATTTAATTGAAACTTGTGATTTAATTAAAATCGCCTACAACAATGGATAAAGAATTGAAAATCCCTCATAACAGTATGTCATGAAAATAAAATATAAGCACATCTAAGCCCTACACGAAAAACAATAAAATTTGCGATAATAGTATTTATTTTTCTCAAAGAAGACAGAATCCAAAACCAGGAAATAAGTAAGGAGCCAAGCATGTAAGTAACAATATATTCTGTTAGACAAAGGGGTTATACCCATTTATTAAAAGTATATACAACCTATATCGAAAATCTGGTGTCCAGTCTCAATAATCCTACATCCATTTCTGGATTGCCAAACTAATTTTGAGTGCAATACCAAGGTTTCCTGACTGATGCAACACTGAGCTCAGTTCTATTTAATTAATACGAGAATTTGATATTGACAAAAAAGAGAGACAATGATACAACAATTAATTCAACGACTTGGTGCTTTCCACAATCCAAGTACAACGACATATTATCTGAGGATTTCAGGTGTAACAATCCATGCCTTGCAAATAATATACGATAGAAGAATACATAAAGGGGCATTAAACTGTTGCAGGGTCATTGATCACACCCAAGAAATCATCTTTTATGGTACCTATGCAGAACTGAAAAAAAACAAAAGGTTATGCATTACATCAGATAAATTGAATTATAGAAAATAACGAAACTTAAAACCAGATAAATATTAAATATCCAAATGAAAAAGAAATTTGTAGCACTGTACTTGACATTTTAAAAGCTAACAGTGGCACATGTTCATATCTATGACCTTAGAACTCGGGAAGGAAAGCCTAGGCTAAGCATGTGCAGGAGTATCAAAACTTTATTATCATACACTTGCTAAAACAGCCAATAGACAAGGGCATCGGTATAATCACAAGTTATTTTAAAGCATCATCATACATGACATACAAGAAAATCATCCAAGGATTTGTAACATCATCAAGGTGGTAAAAATATTATCTTTATCATTGCATGCAGTAACTGGAGAATTTGTGATCATAATTTTCTCACAACATTAAAGATTTTACTAACAAAGTAAACATGCAGCAAGGAGTAGTAAATTAGTAATGACTGTACAATAGAAGTGCGTGATAAATTTTATAACTCCCTTATGGTAGCTAGTAACTTTAACATTCCATGTTGATAGCTTTTGAAATAGATTCAGTTAAAATAGTGGTAGAAGAGTTATACACAAAGTAGTAAATTACTAGCAGACAGAGTATAAACTAACATACCAAAAAACAAAAACAGTGGAGCATAAACTAACATTCAAGAGATGTAAACATTTCACCACTTTTATGATAAACACAAATAATACTGCCATGCCAGTAATTATGAGCAAAACATTAAAATTAGCAAAAACTAAAAGGCGTCTTTTTGGAAAAAATTGTAATAGTAAAGAAATCTGCAAAGAAAAATTTAAATCATAGAATTCATGGACCTTAACAGCATTCAGAAAAACAAAGTATAAGGATATATATATATATATATATATATATATATATATAAGCATACAATTTCAGTAGCATCCACTCGAGTCCCAATTATCTTTAGTCTCACTTCACTATCTTTTTGAATCTTAACCTGCAAAAGACCAATTCATTAGTACCAAAAGCATAACCCATAATCATAAAATAAGAAAACGGCAACAAATAAAATAAAAGAAAACAGTTTTCTCTCATTTTTTTTTTCCAATCAATAAAGTTATGAATGGTACATACTGATCCATCTGAAGTAGTGTAATTTGGCATGTCTCCAGACTGGAACTCCATATCATCCGGAATCAACTAATAGGAAAAAAAAGGTCTTAACAAACAAAAATATATATAAAAGGTATGACTATGAGCTGAAGCTTTTCAGTTGCAGAAATAATGACATAATCTATCCTAAATTAATGATCAAATTGAAAAACACGAAACAATCCTTGGTAACTCTAAACATTGCATTGCACACATTATATGTGAAACTTTTAATTATTTGAGATGTATAGTAAAATAAAGAGAGCCCATTGTGATTAAGAATTTTAGATGAAGGCCATAAAATATTTGTCAATACAATAAAAGCTAATGTCTCTCCTGTCCATTATCTAGAAGAACATTGTAGTTGTGCAACTTCAAAGCATGACATGAAGGTAGCATTCAAATATGAAAGAAATACTTCAGATAGGCTACATATTTTTTACGTTTCATTCCAACATTTTGCCACCTTACGAAAAATATAACACTTCCTTAACTGGTAGACAATTGAGATGAAAACCAAAATTTCTCAGACATTAAGTCATCTTCAGAAAAAGAACAATATAAGGAATTGTTCCTGTGTTTAAGAAAACTGATTTCATGCACCAATTTTCTCTATTTGAGCTTATTACAAAGTTGCACAATAATATTTTTTTGGCCACAAACAATTCTGCATCAAATAGTTCTAGAAATTCTTTAATACAATTAAATTTCTAGTTACATAAATCATTACATGGTTCTGGGAACTGAAATCTGATAGGCATAACCATAACCCATGTCGCATGGGTACACCTACAATATATATTGACATAGCCAAAAACTTGCATGACATTTCAACGACAAGAATAATAAAGAAAAACATAATTTTAATGTTCTGAATGAAGAACAATAGTAACATCCTTTCAAATATAACATGTAAATGATAGACACCATTTCTCAAAGATTAAATAAGACAAAAACCTTACATGGTTTGAAACAAAGATTTGGACAGGTCCAGCTTCAGCAAAAAATCCCATCTGTACAGACATAAGCTCAACAGTCATAAACCACTATCTCCACAAATTAGAGTTAGACAGTTTGAATGCTTGACTACTCAAAGTATTAAAAAGAAAGGAACTGTATAAACCTTGTTCACCATTGTAACAACAGCTTCTAAGATCTCCCCCTTAAATGGTCGGAAGACAACACATTGGTACTTAACTGGAAATGTCACAAACCCTGTTCCGTCACGAATTAAACCTTTCCCTACGTTTTCTATCCCTGTAACTGCTACCACGAATCCATGTCGACCACTGCATAATAGTTGAAAATCCAAATGTTACATCCATCCAAACCAGACACTTGAAGAAAGATATTTTTTTTATGAACTAAATTACATTCTCATACTGTCCAATCAAATGCATAAGAAAAGCTTATCGTTATTAACATGTATAAACTGGGTAGAACATGTCAACTACTGTTTCATCATCCTTCATAAAAGGTTTATATATGAGAAATTATGAGATAGTTGTTAAAATAGTTTAGTAACTCAAAGCAAAAATAAAGGACTGAGGTTAAGAGGGTGTATGCGAGAAATAGCATGTTTAACTGATTCATTCATTTTCCCGATTATCCAATAATGAAAAATACATATTTCCTTTTCTTTCCAATTTCTCCACAACTCATTTTTGAAAAACAGTAAAAAAAAAAATATATTGAAAGGGTCTTGAGGGGAATCACCTGCAAGTGCCTTCCACATCTTTCATTAGCTTGGCCACAAGATTATCACGAAGGTTACGACCAAAGTACCGTGGATGCAACTGCATATTTCTCTCCAGTACTATGTGGAAAAACATTTTGGTGTTTTCCCTCCCTTGCCCAACCAACCTGCACAGTTACTCCTGGGGGCAGCGGTGACACAGCAGAGTTCTAGGATAAAAGGGAGAGGGAGAAGGGGAATGAGGGAGGAGCTGTTTGGAAATTAGGGCTATGTGAGGCGAAGAATGAAGGAGGAGCTGTTTTGAAATTAGGGCTATGAGATTATGTGTACCAGAAATACGATTAACGCAGGATTTTAATGATTTATAGGGGTGGGCAAGATAGATCTAATCTATAACCTAAATTAAACTGTACCCTCTCACTTCAACCTTGAGCTACAACTGGGAATTGGGAATAATTAAGGATTTCACGTTGATTTTTTGTGCTTAATTTATATAATTAATCCACGTTATGGGCTTAAAACAACAAAAATTACGTCTCATATTTAAATTAAAATTAACTTATATATTAAATAACTTTCTGTAAAATCTGCATCATTAAAATCAAATTTTAATTATACTATTCAAAGCCTTTTAAATAAACTACGTCTAATATAATACAATTATTTTAAATAATAATTTAAAAATTACCAAATTTAATTTTATAATAATAAATAATATATATTTAAAATAATATAAATTCAATCATTTTAAATATAGTTTATTAAATATACACGTAAAATTATTTATATTTTTAAAATAACTTCTAAAATCTATAAAATAAAATTTTATAAAATTATTAACGTATAATATTTATTTCAAAAATAAAAATTGCATAAAATATAATTTTAAATTGAATTTAAAAATAATTTAATATGAACTAAATTTAAAATTAATTTTAAATTAAATTTAAATTTTAAAATTACTTTTAAATTAAATTTAAATTTTAAAATTACTTTTAAATTATTAAAAAATAAAGTAAAATAATTTAAAATTTAACCTATTTAATTAGGTTATGCGGTAGATAGATGATAAAATATAAAATATATACAAATATATATTAATTTAATAAAATAAAAAAATAAAAAAATTATATTATCAATAGATTAAAATATATGTAAATATAATTTTATATTAGTTATTATAAAATTTTAATATTTTTTAATATAATAATTTAATAATAATATAAAAATATTTATAATATATTTTTATCTGATTAAAAATTAATTTTAAACTAAATTTAAATTTTAAAATTAAATTTAATCTAATTTTAAAAAAATTAAAATGAATTGATTCAAAATTCAATCCATATAAATAGATTTTAAATAGATCTAAATTAATTTTTTAAAAATTCAATCCATGCATTTCTAATAAATTAGTCATAAACAACAAATTTTATATCTAATAAAAACAAACATAGCACAGTTTTCAGTTTATCTCAACATCAAAAAGTTATGTTTCACAACTTAATTTTCACTAAATTCACTTGCTCATTAACATGCACCTTACAAATTAAGCTCACTTAGGTTTACCTATTTTCTATTTTTACTTTTAATGAAAACAAAAAAAAAATATTTGGTTGAATTTTAGAAAATATTTTTCTTATAAATATTTTTAAAATATAGTCAAAATTTAAAGAAAAAAACTAGTTTTCACACATACAAATATTTATTGGCACATATTTAAAAAATAATTACAAATAAAATGTAAAAAAGATATCGAAGATCTTGAAAAAAAAGTTTATAATTAATAGTTATGATTAAAATAAATAATTTTAATTTATATTATACACTAAAGATTAAAGCTTATAAATAGTGACTTCTATTATTTTTGTATTTTTTCTTTTGCTGTATTGCAATGTTATGTATATTGTTATTTTTTTTAATTTTTTGTTACACATAATTTAAAATGTTATTTACTTCACTATTTATTTGTTGCTTCTCATGTGTTAAGTATTTCTCATAAATATATGCTCTTTTTTATTTTTAAAATATTAAACAAATATTTATCTATATATTATAATATTTTTATATTTTATTTATATAAATAAAAATAAATTTATAAAATTGATATTTATAGTCTTTTTTTAGAAAATTGAATCAGATTGATATTTTATTTGTTTTTGTCAAAGTGTTACATCTTTATATATATCTTTATCTTCATCTTTATACATACAAAAGTAAATGAGTTTTGAGAAAAAATTTGCAATGAGTTTTAGAGGAAAATTTGCCTTCACTCTTTAATATAATAATCTTTATATAATAATTAATAATTACTATACAATTTTGATATATCTTTAAATAATTTAGTTCAAATAAGTTAAATGCATTTATTTGTAATCAGCAATTTTGATATATTCAAAAGGTGCATCTTTGCGATAGATTTGAACCTTAATATGAATAGTTTAATTCAAATCAATTAAATGTATTTTTTTTTTAATTAGCAGATTTGATATATTCAAAAGGTACATTATTTGCGACAGATTTAAACCTTAATAAATAAATAAAATATCTTCAAGTGAGAAAGAAATTATTTTTTATTTAAATTTGACTATTTGCATAGTATGCATACATTAATGGAGAATATTTAAAATTAATTTAAATATTCTATTTCTTTCTTTCAAATAACTAATATTTTTATTAATAATAATATTAACATATCCTAATTAATTTTAAACTTTCAAATAGTTTAAATATTATTATAAAAATTTTATAAAGTTGTTCTTATCATAATATTTATCTATATTTTATATGTGACTCATAAATTTTATATTATATTAACATGTGTAATTTTAATTGATATAAGGATTTATTTTTGCATTCAATAAAATTATTCTTCTTTTTTACTTTCTATTTAAATCTTAATTAAAATTTTAAAAGATATAAAGTATATAAAAATTTGCATATAAAAAATTATTTATTTTATTTTTTAATCTATTTATATTTGATATTATTCAATATAATATAATTTTATTATAAAATTTATCAATCTATCAGGTTGTTTATTTGAATTCATTAACTGGTCTAACACGTCCCTGCAAGATTGGGGTTATGGTAGTGACATCAATCTTATTTTTTCATAATGTTTTCATTGATCAGCAGTATCAATGTGATGAACCTTGAGTTTTCTTTATTGTACTAAGTCTGGAACACAGAGAATGTCAATTGAAATGTGCTTTATACGACTATGGTAAACTGGGTTATGAGTAAACTAAGTAGCACTCAAATTATCACAAAGAAGTAATGAAGAATTAAAAATAGAAACACCCAATTCAGTAAGGAGAGAATGAATCCAGGAGAGCTATGCAGCAGAGTTAGCCAAAGATCCATATTTAGCCTCTATGAATGATCGAGCAACGACATGTTGCTTGGAGGACTTCCATGAAATTAAGTTAGATCCATAGAAAACAAGATGAGTAGAAGTTGAGGTAAAATCATCTTTGTTGTTTGCCCAATCTGCATAGCTATATGCTAGGAGAGTATAAGCTTGTGGTTTCTGAAGCATTAAACTATGAAAAATAATGGATTTAAGATACGGAAGAAGACATTTAAGAGCAGTCAGGTGGGTGGTAGTAGGTCGTTGCATGAATTGCACCAATTTATTGACTGAAAAAGCTTGTTGAGAGAATTACTCATTGACATTAGAGTAAGAACAAGCTTGACTTCATGCATTTTTGTTCTCTCTAGAAAATCTGTAATATATTCATGTTGTTTTAAAAATAAAATAGTAGGGGTTAGTACCACTTCAACACCAAGAAAATAATGCAAGTCTCAAAGTCTTTGATGGAAAAGTAATGTGCAAGAGCTGCAATGCAGTCAACAATTTTATTGGAGAAGTTTCATGTAATTATTATGTTATCTACGTACACAATAATGTATAGAATTGCATCGTGTTTTTGAGAATAAAAAGAGAGGAATCAAATTTTGAGTTAATAAATCCATAATTACATAGAAACTAATGCAAGGTATAGAACCAAGCCCTTGGTGCTTGCTTAAGTCCATAGATTGATTTCCTTAGACAGCACATATGATGAGGATTCTGAGGATGAATGAATCCTGGAGGTTGTTGCATATAAACTTCTTTATGTATAGCACCGTGCAAAAAGACATTATTCACATCAAGTTGGCAAGCGAATTTACCAATCATTCTATATTGCCAGAGACAAGACCAATCTCACAATTGTTGGTTTGACAATAAGACTAAAGATTTTAGTGTAGTGCAATCCCAGTTGTTGATGGAAACATTTTGTCACAAGCCTAGCCTTATATTTATCAATATTATCATTGGCTTTTCTTTTAATTTTGTAAAGCCATTTGCTTCCAATCAGATTTGTAGCTTGACACCATGGGACTAGGGATGGAAACAAGTCAGGCCGCTTGCCCCTGACCTTTTTAATAAACAAATAAGGTTTAGGTTTTTTATAAGGCTTATTTAAATAAACAAGTCAGGCCTGAGCTGTTTATAAAGTCTGCTAAGTCTGACAGACCGGTATATGTGTATATATATATATATATAATTTAAAAATAGAGCTGTTAAAATATATTTAAATAATAAAGTTATTTAATAATATATTTTTTATATTCTTAATTCTGTTATTATTAAATTAATATATTATATTATAATTCTTTTTATTTATAATTATAATAAATAGAAATTATATTCTATTAAAAATTAAAAATATTTATACACGATTATACTTTTCAAATAATAAATTTATTTATTAATAAATTATCATATTTGTTACATTTAAAAGTTAAAAAGTAGTTAAGTCTTTATACAAGAACAAAACGCAATCAAAACTAAATGAAATAAAATTTAGGCTTAATTATATTTTTGATCCCTATAAATATAGGTCTTTTTGTAATTAATACCTACAAATATTTTTGTTAAGAAGTGACCCTTCTAAAGTTAATAATTTAAGAATTGAACCCTGTCGTTAACTCTTCATTTGTTAAATGCTGAGCTGGTTAATAGAAAGTCAGTTCAGTACTCCACGTAACACCATGTTATATGTCATGTCATTTAAATTTTTTATTTTTTATTGATTAAAATAAATGTGTAAAAAGATCAATAAACATGTTTTATATATTTGCAAAAAAGACTTCTTCCTCCCCAAACTTCTCTCTCTCAATATGGCAATCCCACTTCCAATTCACCTCAATCTCCACTCTCATCCCTTCCTCTAACCCCACTCCCACCTCCACTCCAACCCTCTACCTTTCTCACCCCAACTTCTACCACTCCCACCTCCACTCCAACCCTCTACCTTTCTTACCCCAACTTCTACGTTGTTCGAATGTGAAGTCAAACGTTTATACAATTTTTTCTTGTTTTGATATTTATTGGGCAGATTGGCAAAGATACAACAAATAAAAAGAAATAGATTCAAAAGA